GAAATGCCACGTTGCATTTGTCTGGTGTTTCCTTGTAATTGGATTAAGTTATACTTTTTTTTTTTGTCAGGACTATTCCAGAAACCCTGGAGTGGCTTTTGGGTATTTTGTGTCAGGGGTACGTGATTCCTGTTTATCCTGCTACTGGGGATGTTCCCTTTGATCACTTGGTTAAGGCAGTATCTGCCAGGTTTCTCCATCGTAAAATTGCTAACTCTATCTTTTTTAGAAGTCTCTTATGGGAGATGTTATTACATAAGTATTCTGTTCCTCATCATACTTTTGCTCGCTAATTTTAGCTTGTATTGATGAATTGGGCCTAAAGCAATTATTACTGTGGTGAGGGCCAGTGGCAATTTTCTAATCCCATCATTCTTCCTACACGTCTTCATTAATTATTATTACATTCAATGCATCTTGAGCGTCTTAAAGAAATAGGCCCTCAGGTACCCAACTAGGAAATCTACCATTAAATTAAAGGTCACAAATAGTGAAAGAATGTAGCAACATCAAGGGACCTATGAAATCAGCACTATTGTTTCTATAGAAACGGATAATGTAATTTCTAACATGTATTTATGGGGCCACCATCACCATACAGTCTTCCAAACTGGTGAATTAGGGTCAGGTTACTTAATACAAATTTGCTCACCTTTCAAAATCATCCAAAATACACTTGTACCCCCTAGGACCTAGTATACTCTCGGTCACATCAAAGACAGTTTCATCAAGCTTTCAGAAAGCATGGGAATGAATGAGAAATCAAGTGTAGAGAAACTGAGAGAAGAGGAATCAGCCTGAAGGGGAACCTTGGGGTAGTTTAACTTTTACAGCACATGTAATGGACGAACCAGTGACAGAGAAAGGCCAGAGAGGGAGGAATAGGGTGGTATTCTGCTAAGAATCTAAAGAAAGAGAGAGCCTCTAAGGTTACCTTCCATTCCTGGGTACAGTCTTGGATTTGGAATAACTTGGATTCTTTAGATTAGAGAAATTTGGGGTAAGCATTATGAATACGCCTAAATTCATAAAGTAAAGGGAAACCTCCTGTGACCTTTGGGGTGTCTGTCTAACTCCTGTTCTTAAAATAAGAGCCACATGGCCGTTGCTCTACCCAAGCTGTGCTGTACCCAAGCCCATCAGTTTGCACAGAACTGCTGTCCTGGCTCTGACGGGAGGGCCTGGGAGCCAGCTCCGCCCTCTCCACTCTCCACAGTGAGGAACAAAGCCCAAGGTCCTGGTCTGTTTGACTCAGCTTTACGTCTCCCATTGGCTGTTTGCAAAAACTGCACTTTCCTTCTGGACTCTCATTTACTTCTTTCTCACTTTCTAATTCCCACTGTCTTCCTTTTCTAAGTATGGCCCGCAGTCAGGAGCATCAAGGGTTATAGAAATCAGCAAGATGAGGTCCTTGGAAGTGGTGTTTAAGCAGTTCACTGACAACTTTTAGGAGGCCAGCTTTAATAAAAATTGTGATGGTTCCAGATAAATTCACTATAGCTTACACTTTCCACACAGACAGGATAGCGTAGTCATGGTATAGGTTTTTGCAGTCAAGACAATGGAGGAAGAAACCAGAACAAAATGTGAACTTGAAGATGCCAGAAAGAGGGAGACAGAAGTGGAGATGGAGAGTTGGTCAAATCAGGAATCCCAGAAAATGTTAGCTTTGAGAACAAAGATAGGATGTGGCTTCTCTGGAAATGAGTAGAAAGAATGAAGGAAAAAGCAAAGACTACATGATCCCGCAGACAAAATCGAGACAGCAGAGACTGGAGCGGAGGCCATGACATCCTCGGCATATTAGTTGTGCAAGTCATCTCAGGGGCGGGGGAGAGCTCCGAAGTTCTTTGGGAAGAGTGAAAAGTATCTGGAACAGCTGCTTTGAAGAATTCAATAGAAAGTCAAGGGGAATAAAAAGGCTGCTCTAATAACAAAATGACTTATGAATCTGAAAAAACAAACATGCCTGGATAATGCATCGGGTACAAACTGTTTTTCTCCAGAAAAGTCTTTACAAGTCCCTGCTGATTGTAGAGCTGGTTGGAACATCTATCTGAGTGTCTGAGTCTGATAGAAATCTTTGGCCGACTAACTGATGGCTGGGATAACTATTAGCATGCACCTCTCGATACTGAAAGAAGCGAAATTTTCCACCCGCAGCAGGCTGTTAAAATCCTAATTATCCCCTTGGAGACTGGCCCTCTCAATTTTAGAAGCCTGTTCCTTTGCAAAGGAAGGAAATCACACACATACTCATTCATATACACCATGAATAAAACAAATTGATCTTCATTTCCTCATCCAGTAAATATTCTAAGTCACTCCTGGACACATTGACTTTCTAGTAATCCCATCATTGATCATTCCAAACAAAGGAAGCTTTCTACCCGTCCCAGTGACAGCAGCAGCTGGTTTTTATTGGAAGATGCATTTATGTCAACTCCGGAGAACATTTACTCCGGCTCCCACTGCCTCTCGTATCATTCTGTGGTCAATTGTGAATGAAAGGCCAGTTCCTTTCCTCCTGGAATTTTGTGGAGAGACTGAGAAACTCATTTCCTGTGGAAGCGAAGGCTAAAAGCCCTGGCAGGGAAGAAGACAGTTCTCCTGAGAGGAGTAGGAAAAGGTTGGCAGGGGGAGCAATATGAGAGACTCATGACAGAAGCAAAGCACCAAATGTCGAAGGTGCCTTCTTCTGGTCCCTCCAGGGCTTCTCCATGGGCTTGAGCTCTCTGCAAATGGCAGCCTATGTGAAGCAGCGAGCAGAGTTGCCCTCACTTGGTCCTGACGACAAAGACTGAGAAACTCAGCCTGGGAGGCACCAGGCTGAACAGAAGCCCGATGGCAGGTTACCCACAGGGAAGCCCAAAGCAGAGCAAAGGTGGGAAGAGGTTTGGGAAGCACAGCCATGCTTTAACCAAAGGGTGAACATCGGTAGAAGGAAAGGGAATTAAAGCCTTCCTGTGCAGTCATCCCTACGTAGGAATTTAGCTCAGACACTCAATTATACTCTACAAAACAGAATTTCCAACGTTTTTCTTTTGGAGGGCTGGTGTTAGATTGCAGTCAGATGCGTAGTTTAGTATATACAGATCACATCATATTACACGTGGCTATAATTGTTAAAGCTACTTTGCTGTTTGCAAAATGTCCTGTGTAGGAAATGATCGTCTCCCCAGACAAGTGATGACTGAAGGAGCTGGAGTCACATCCAAAACCATGCTGGAAGTCCTTCGACATGCTACCCTTCCTTCCTTCCACTTCTACCTGACTCCCCAGACAAATCCATGAAGAAATCACAGCATTGTCTGTCCCAGCATTATCTGTCACAGCGAAACACAGGGAAGGTACCTTAATGTTAGTCAACATGGGAATTGGTTTTTAAAAATTATGGTCAGCGTGTCATGAAGTACTATGCAGCCATGAAAAAGAAAGGGGAAGCACTATGTGAATTAATAGGTGAAAATGTCCACATTGTTCAGTTTTAACAAATCACTTGCCCAAAACTATGTCTGGAGTCAGATGATTTCATTTGTATAAAATAAAATAAAAATTATTTCTTTCTTGAGACCCCCAGGGTATACTTGAGGAACAATAGGCAGTCTATTTGCCTAAGGCCCAAGACTCATCCTGCTGGGTTGGGTTGAGTATATACACACTGAGTGAGTCTAGAGGTGGTGAATCAGAGCCAGTTCTGGTTCAGAGAGGTTGGGAGAAGGTAGATCTAAGAGAAGGATGGACAGGAGCAAGGAAAAGACAGGAGAGATGCTATAGGGAGAGGTACTACTTGGGGGGGTGTCCTGCCAGCTACTATTCAAGCCGTGTAGGGCTGTGGTGTGACAGCCACTGCTACAGCCAGTCTTTAAGCTCAGAATAATATATATTTTTGAATACATATAGATAGATAGATAGATAGATAGATAGATAGATAGATAGATATAGATACACACACACACACACACACACACACACATACATACATTCACTGTCTGGAAAAACAAAGCTCCCCAGTGAGTTTTAGGTTTATAAATTGTCATAAGAACTTTTATTTATTTGTTTTAAACCACTGTAGAAGGAAGATAACAGAGCTAGTGTTCACTGCCTTGAACACCAGAAATCTCCCTGTGCTTCCTTAAAGAAAAACCCAGACAAAGGTGAGAAAGAAGGCAAAAATGCTTTGAGCTTAATGGAAGTTCATGTACACATCCCCATGTGATTAATAATAAGTAGTTTTTTTACCAACATCATCTCCTACAATTGTTCCATTATCTTCCAGGACTGTCAAAGGCTTTATCACAAGCCTTTATGTCCATATAAATGTGGCAGGTTTGCATTTGATATGAAGAAGGCTCTGTAGAAAAACCATTTGACAATAGTGTTTTTATCCTTTTATAATTAATGGGAAAATCTGTACCTTGATGGATATCAGTGCACAGACAAATTTATTCCAATTTGAGGCCTTCATTACTATCCCAGTAGTCAGATCACAAAGGTCCTCATTTCAGCTTCCTTATCGGCAAAGAGCAGGGCATTTAAAACATAGCACCAAATAAACAAAATATTTTAGATCTAATATTTTGTTTCATAGGTCCCATTTAATAAAAACAGATTCCCTTCTCAATTAAAAATATACTTCTGGGTTTTGTGCGTGTTTAATTTTTAAATACAGTATTTTCTGAATTACCCAAAATGTCTACAATAATTTTTTTAAATTGTAACCATAAAAATTATTTACAAAAAAAATAATAGCGACCAATAACAAATAGACTGGTTTTAAGAAGCTTCAATCTGTATCCTGATTCCCTTCTGCTGCATCCTCCCAGGGAAGAGTCAGGGTGGCCCCTCAAGTGAGAAAGCTAATTTGGGGTCAACTTGGATGATTGGACTGCCTGGCTGAACTGGTGGCAGTTGTTGACATTCCTAGAAGAGATCATGTCATCTCAGCAGTTTCCACCATTCGTTTTTTGTTGTTGTTATTTATTTATTTATTTATTTATTTATTTATTTATTTATTTAGAGAGAGAGAGAGAGAGGAAGGGAGAGAAGCATCAATGTATGTGTGCAAACCCTAATGGGGATCTGGCCTGCAGCCCAGGTATGTGCCCTGACTGGGAATCGAACCGGCGATCCTTTGGCTCACAGGCCGATGCTCTATCCACTTGGCCACACCAGCCAGGGCAGAAGTGTCTTTTTCTAATGTTTAAATACATTAATTGTTTGGAGGGGTTGGGAAACAACTTGAAATAAATCAGAAAACATCTTCATATTAGTTACTCCTTTCATATACTTCAAATTTGAATTTAATTCCTTTTTCCTCCTGGACACCAGAAAGAACACCTGGGTATTCTGGGAGAAGTTTGTATCTCTCCAAATCAATTTCTGGAAAAAATGTGTCACTTTCAAATTCCTGCATGATCCTTGTCACAAACAGTTTAACATGGCCTGGCTTGTTCATGGCTTCCTTATAGACAGAACTGCCTCCTATTATCCAAACCATGTCCACTTTATTTGTTAATTCTAGTTTCTCAATAAGGTTTAAGGCATCATCCAGACTTCTGGCAAGAAAATGAGCTCCTTGTGGAGGTTCCTTGAGTTCTCTACTGAGGACTGCATTAATCCTGTCCTTTAAAGGTCGATTCTTGCATCGTCGCTGTGTCCCAGAACATGGGCATTGGGAACAATGGAAACCTACCTTGGCCCCAGATCAGGAGTGAGCTCAAATATTTCCATAGAATGACTACAACCACTTCAGCAGAAGGTAAACAGAATGTGGTGTTGTTGTTTTTTAAAGTACCTCGGTAAGAGCTTCAGTTGCCTCAAGCTCCTGCTCATCCCATAGCCTCTTTTTCCCACAGAAAACAGAGTGTGAAGTGTCCAAAAAGGTTATTTCTCAGTTAGGGTCCAATGAGAGAAACAGTAGATCAATAGGGGTGATTTAATATGGAGAACCAGTTACCAAGATGTTGGAAGAGCTGAGATTCCAACAATGACAGGGCTGCAACCCAGGGATTAGCAACAGTGGGAAGTCACCACCTACCCTAGGCAGGAGGGACAAATTTTTTACCAGGGCTGCTTGGTGAGAGGTGACTCTACAGCCAGAGTGTCTTCCTTAGAGGAGCTGGACCATGCAGGAGGGCACAGCCCCTGTTGGAGAGGCCACTTGAAGCAGATAAAGGGGATGGAGGAGAGATACCAAGGCTTTTCCATTTTACCTCCATCTGACCCCTTACCTGTGCTTCTGATGAGCTGAAGCTACCCAGAGGCCCCTGGCAAAGGAGCCTGGGGAATAAGCAAGGGACCATTGAGGCACCACGTCCATTCTCAGTTTGACCCACTCCCTGCCGCCTGCCACTTGAATTGTGCAGCATCCTCTAACCTGTGAGCAGCTTCCACACCAGTCTCCACACTGCTGATTAAGACTCCACAGTGGCTCCTCAGGATCCTCAGGCGCAGTCCAAGCCAGCTCCACGGTCCTCCTGCTCTGGTCCGGCCACCACTTGGCACTTACCTCTTCTAATCGCCGTCTTCAACTCTATGCTCCTGTCAGAGTAAACCTTCTTTTTTTTTTTTTCCTTCTTTTCTTTTTAGACTCAACCTTCTTATACATTAGTTTTCTTTATGAAATTTTTCAAAACTCCAGAAAGCCATGGAGATCATATAGTGAATATCCATGTACCCACCATCAAAAACTAGGAAACTTTGCACAGTCGAAGCCCACTGTGTAACCTTTCCATGGTTACTCTCCCCTCTTTGATCCACAGCCAAGGAAAACTACTGTCCTAAATTTGATGTTTTTCACTCCCAGTTATGTCATAATGATTTTATTACATATGTTAAGTATCCTTAAATGTTAAATGATAGTGTAAGCTTTTTAAATATATATAGATAATATATTGTGTATCTCCTTTGGCAACATTTTTGTTATTCAATATTACATTTAAAATATATATACTATTTATACATGTAGTTCATTCATTTTAACTGTTCTATTCTATGTAACTGTACAAGAATTTATCCATTTTCTTGGATGATGATATAAGTTGTTTCCAAATGTTTGCTATCATAAACAGTGCTGCCATCAACATTCATATTCATGCCTCATTATGCTGGGCTCACGAGCATTTCCCTGAGACACACTTCTGAGGTAGAGGTCCATGGGGCATGTACCATTTGTTTTGGGGGTATTGGCAAATTGCTCTCCAGAAGAGAGTCCTACCAGCAGGAAAATAAAGTTCCTGCTGCTGTACGTTCTTACCAACATTCAGTGCTGTCGGTATTGTTTTTTTAATTTGGCAGACTAATATGTATTAAATTATGTTTTACTGTAGTTCCAACATTTTTTCTGATGACCAGCAAAGGTGGGGACCGTTTTACGGCTGTTAGTCATTTGAGTTTTCTCCTTCTGTGAATTTCTTGGTAACATTCTTTGTTTGCACCATGTTGGGATGTTTACCTTTTTCCTTTTTGTTTGTCAGAGGAGATCTGGAGGCGGTGCAGCCAGAGCCGCTCATACTCAGCACTGGTGGATGGCCTGGAACCTATGACTTGCCCAGTAACAAAGTTCAAACACTTATTTGAAAGGACAAAATAAAAATATACATTTGGGGAGTGGGGAAAGGGAGTCACTACATTTGTTCTGAAGGACAGGTGTCATTAGAACATTAAAGACTCGTTAATGTTAAATTTCAGGGTCTTTGATTATGGAGGGACTGATTCTTCATCACAGGCCCCACCCACTTTTGGGATTATGCAGATGTTAACATTACTTACTACAGATGTTAAGCTTTACTTACTACAGATAGTTCTCTCTTTTTAAAACAAAAAATATGGCAGACAAAACTAAGGCCTCCCCTCTCAACCCATCATCCTCTTATCTCCCCAGAAATCAGCCCAACCTCCCAACCCACACCTCCCTGTCCAGAGATCTAGCTCTACTGTCCTGAGGTTTGCTTGTAACATTCCCCACGCATGTTTTTATACTGTAAAGTAGGACATGTACTGTTTTATGTTTAAATTTACATGGACAATTTCATGCTATGTGTATCCTTCGACAACTTGCTTTTGCAATCAACCTTGTTTTTGAGATTTACCCGCTTACCCATGTAGATCTAGTTCATTCATGTTAAATGTGAACAACCACATTTTATTTACCCATTCCCTTACCGGTGAACGGTTAGATTGTCCCACTCTTTTGCTGTTATAAACAGAGTTGCAATGGATATTCTTATCCTTAGCCCTTGGGCACAGATGCTGGAAGGATTCATGGGAGTTACTGGCACACATATTTTCTGAACTTCTTCATAATGAACTCTGAAACAATTAAATGAATATTTTACTTATTAAAATAAAAATAATTATTCAAGAACATCCCTACCATTCTATGAATATGCATGGTCTCGAATGTCTCTGAATAGGTATGGTTTGATCCTTTAGGGTGTATTAACCTAAAACCTATACTAAGATAATAGATAGTACTAAGTCAGTGATAATGATCTTTGCACCTTAAAAAAAGAAGTAGAATTTGATGGGGTTATCTGCCCCTTAGTTGTCTCTTTACGTATACATTCTATCCCCCCAGTTAGAACACAAGCCCCTTGTCAGAAAGGACTATGTGTTAGATTCCTTAGAATTCTGAGCAAGTAGGAGGGTGCACTTTGCAGAGTTTAAACCCCTTGGTATTCAAAGTGTACACCTTACAACAGCACCCTTGACATCACCTAGGTGCTTGTTAGAAATGCAAAATCTTAGGTCCCAGACCTACTGAATCAGATTCTGCATTTCAACAAGAGCTCAGGTGACATTTAAGTGTGAATAACACTGGTATAAATTTAATGTTCCCCGGACCTTACCAGCTGGTGTGGTTCGCTGTGATTGTGTTAACCTTAAGTCATATTCTCTACTCCTACTTTACTTGTTTTCAAGGATCTTAACCATTACTGTACCACATGATGTGTCACCCAGTGTGCTGCAGGGCATAGGAAAAGGGCGTTTGCAGACAGGCGAGTCAAAACGTCTTCCCAAAGTAGCTGATGTCTAAGCAATGCTCAAAGACCTCATAGTCATTAACCAGTTAGAGAAGGGAAGGGTGTTCTAGGCTGAGGGCATCAAGTGAGACAAAAGCATGCATACCTGAAAAATGTTTAGGGAGCTCTAAGTAGTCGAATGCATATAAAGAAATAGCAAAACAGGAAGCTGAGAACAGATTATGAAAGATCTCATTTACTAAGCCAAAAAGTTCTGTTTTTATCCTTTAGTCAGGCTGGGAGAAACTAGTGAAGTGTTTTTTGGTAATAAATGACACAATTATATTTGTAACACAGATAGGTCACTCTGGAAGCAATTTCAAGATTATATTTGAAAGAGGCTGGACTGGCAAAAAACTGACAGATGGAAGGGGGCCAGCTTGTGCAGAAGTGACCCACAGACAAGGTTGCCCTTTGTAACCATTTGGAATCTATGGGACTGCAGATCTTTATAAATTGCTGACCTGTGATGGAGTTGGTAAGAGTTAGGTTCAGTCACACTTCTCCAGGCTGAGTGTTATGAAGGATGATTGTCTACCCTTCTCTTATCTGGTGCTTTGGTAAGTCAGTGCTCCAGTTGCTCAGAATGAACACATTTCTGTGCAAAGTAAGGCTTAACACAGGCAATGCATTAGAGACGTGTGCTCATTCATTCAATAAACATTGGAGTATCATGCATGTATTATACTTATAGAAGAATAAAAGCATCAGGGTAAGCTCATAAAGCTCCCAAGGGCTGGGAATCAAAAACTCCAGTTTCTTCGTGCATGGATTTTATAATTTCACTTTTATACTTGAGTATAACCCAAGATTCAACCCCGCTTCACCCCATTCCAGGAACTGCTTTCAGGAACAACAGGGAAAGAAGAACCTTGGGAAGCCTAGGACACTGATCCACTTGAACGCACACTCAGGAGTCCTGAGAGGAGCCACACTACTCGAAGGTACGTCATCCTCTTCTTGACACCACTTGTCTCTCTCAAACTCCACGCCGCTGATGCAACAGAAAGAGGTTGGTACCATCTCCCGTTCCGTAGGGATAGAACATTTGCAGAATAACCACATCAACAACGACTGACATTTGGTGAAAGTTATTTTATCCTAGGCCCTGTATATAGTACTTTATTTACAGCATCTCACCTACACCTCATGGATCCATGAAGTAAAAAGTGTTACCTTTAGCAATGGTCTTATTGAATTATAAAACATAGAAAAGTACATAAAACATACCTGATACCAATTTGTAAACTCCTGGAAGATAAGGAGTATCTTATTCATCTGTATGCCTCCCCCCCTTTAGCACCTGGGACTGAGCCTTGAAATACTACCTAATATTGTTAGGTGGTTAGCTAATAAACTGATAGCCAAAAGAAAATAAATGGTCACTTGTCTTAATAGTTCCCAGCTTTTGGTGCAGTTCACTATCACCTGTGAAACCTTGAATGACACAGCTGCCCACACCCCATGCCCAGAGATCCTGATGCAATGGGAGAATCTTTCATCAGTAGCTGGATTTTTTACTAATATTCTCACTCACTTTTAACTCCACACTCTTCTTAAATGAGAAATGTTTGCCATGACTTCACTAAATATAAGGGTAGAAGCTGCATGATAAGTATCTATCATCTTGTTCCTTCTAAAATGATTTTTCTTATACAATTCCTTTCAGATATTTAAATACTCTAGGGAATATCAGTAAATGGGTTTTTAAACCCACACTTTCCACAGTTTTACATCAAAAAGGATAGCTACTAGGTTGAGAAAGAATCCTTTAAGATTATGAATAGCAGTAATATCCAAAGAATTTATCATAGTATTTTATAACAGCGATACTATAAAATTTGCTCTATTTTTATTAATATTCTGACAACACTGTAAGTGTAACATTTTTTGAAATGGTTTCTATTTATGTCCAGAACTGTTATAAATATACCAAATTTTATGCTATCAATTTCTTTTATTCAATTATTCATTTATCCAACAAATGTTAAATGAATACTATACTAGGCACTAAAGATACAGTTTAGGAAATGGGACATTATAATGGGTATGAGAAGAGCAATATTATGAAGGGGCTTAGAAGAGGAGCAAAAATTTGAGGGGGTAGGGAAGAATATGGGGAAGATATCCATGAAGGTTTCCAGGAGGAGTTTTTCTTGAGCTTTGGATTTTATCTTAAGGAAAAAAAATACTCCTTGTTTAAAAAGGATGTGTCAGAGTTCTTAGTCATAAGCAACAGAAATTGGCATTTGTTGATTAACAAGAAAAATAATTCGTTAACTAGGGAAAGTAGGGGAAGGGTCAAGTCAAGGAACATGTGTAAAGGACCAATGGGCAAAGACAACCACGGGGCGGGGGAGGATTGAACGTGGGAGGTGGGGGGTGGGCAGGACAGAGGAGAGTAAGGGGGAAAATGGGAACAGCTGTAATTGCACAATGATAAAAAAAAAAGTAATTTGTTAAAATGATACTAGGTAGCTCAGAATTTCCTGCATGACTGAAGAATCAGGTTCAGAGTCCCCGCGGACAGAAACATCTCCCCAAATCATAGTCCAGTGAGGATGCTGCTGAAGGTGGTATAATCAGTGCCATTTGCCCAGAATGTAAAACAGCAACTGGCCCCTGCTGCCTCAGAAGTTTAACTTTGCTGCAGTTGCTACCATCACCGTCAGAAAAGTTCTCAGTTGTTCTTGCTGTCATGTGGTCATTAATTCCTAATTCAAAGTCTGGGGAGAGGTTTCTGCTTCACACAGCCTAGACCACAAGCTACACTTAGCTGCGGAGGAAGCTAGGGAAGTGTTTGCCTAGCTTCCTTTGCTGTGTAACAACCACCCCAAATTTAGTGGCTTAACATTAAGAACCATTATTATATGTCAGGATTTTGTAGGTTGGCTGGCCTCAACTGGACAGTCCCCCTCCAGGTGGTGTCTGCTGGGTCTAAAATTATCTGAAGGCTCATCTGCCTAGATGTCCAAGCCCTGTCCAAGATGGCTCACTCATGGCTGGCTGTGGGCTGGCAGCTCAGCCAGCTACCTAATACTATGTGAGCTACTCAATATAATTTCAATATTTTTTAAGTTAATCAGCCAGTGTTGACTGGTGGAGCATTATCTGATTGAAAAAACAAGACTGAGAAAGAGATGGAACTTGAGCAGGTCAGTTTTCCTCCATGAGGTCTCATCACATAGACAGGGCTTCCCATAGTGTGACACTCTCAGGGAAGGTGCACGGCTTACACGGTGTCACTCTTATGAGAGGGAGAATTTTAAACAGCAAAGTCAAAAGCTCACAAACCAGCAACCTGGGCAGCCCTGCCCTGGTGAACACCTAAGGCTCCATTCCTCATACGTAACAGGCATGAACAGATCAAAACATGGCTCAAGAACAACTCAGAGCCCCAGAGCTGATAAATCTAAGTGATGAAGAAATAGCTAAACTTTCAGATGCATAGTTCAAAACACTGGTAATCAGGATGCTCACAGAACTGGTGGATTTTAGTCACAAATTACAGGAACATATGAAGGCTAAACTAATCGAAATGAAGGGAAATGAACAGGAAACCAATAGTGATGGGAAGGAAACTGGGACTTAAATCAAAGGAGAGGACCAGAAGGAAGAAAAAAATGACCAAACAGAAAAGAACGAAGAAACAAGGATTCAAAAAAATGAGGAGGCTTAGGAACCTTCAGGACATCTTTAAACATTCCAACATCCGAATTATAGGGGTACCAGAAGGGGAAGAGGAAGAGCCACAAGTGGAAAACTTATTTGAACAAATAATAAAGGAGAACTTCCCCAATCTGGCAAAGGAAATAGACTTCCAGGAAATCCAGGAAGTGAAGAGAGTTCCAAAGAAGTTGGACCCAAGAAGGAACACACCAAGTCACATCATCATTGTATGAGCCAAGATTAAAATGAAGGAGAGAATCCTAGAAGCAGCACGAGATAAGGGGACAGTCACCTACAAGGGAGTTCCCATCAGACTGTCAGCTGATTTCTCAAAAGAGACCTTACAGGCAAGAAGGGACTGGAAAGAAGTATTTCAAGTCATGAAATCCAAAAATCTACATCCAAGATTGATCTATCCAGCAAAGCCAGATAAAGTGCTTCTCAGATAAGATCAAATTCAAGAAGTTTAAAAGGGCTTATCTAAGAAAAAGAAGATAAAAAAGATGAACAGTGAAAGGGCAGCAAACCAAAAGGACAGTTATTAACAACCACACCTAAAACAAAAGCAAACTAAGAGGACAGCTAGATCAGGAGCGAACCATAGAAATGAAGATCACGTGGAGGGTTAGCAACAGGGGAGTGGGAGAAAGGGGGAGAAGGTACAGAAAATAAGTAGCATAGACGGTAGGTAGAAAATAGACAGGGGGAGGGCAAGAATAGTAGGGGAAATATAGAATCTAAAGAACTTGAGACACATGGTCATAAACTAAAGGAGGGGGACTGGTGGGGGAGGGGTGTGCAGGGTGGAGGGGAATGAAGGGGGGAATAGAACAACTGTAATGGCATAATCAATAAAATATATTTAAAAAATAGAAAATAAAAAAAAAGAAGCTCCAGATCTCTTAATGCTCAGCCTGAAAAGGTACACAGCACAACTTTCACCCATTCTACTGGGCAAATCAAGCCACAGGCTAGCATACACTCAAGGAAAAGCAAGATAAACCACATCTCAAAATGTAAAAAGTAACAAAAAAATCTGCAGTTCTGTTTACTTCTCCACACTGGCACTTTCAGCCTTTTCACTGGAGAAAGGATTTCTCTTTCACCTGGACACATAAGCTGACAATTTTCCCAAACATAGGAAAGAGGTTCAAATGGTGAGCTCTCAAAAAAATAATTAAAAAGACAATTGTTCACTGTCAGAAGCAGAAAGAAGGGCTCTCCAAGCAGAGGAAATGGTACTGGAAAGTCACAGGGAGGGCTTCAGCGGGTACTGCCACTTACATAGTGCACTGCTAATCATATAATTCCCACGTTCTCTTGCTAACACTGCATTAGAAGAGCACCTTGTTGAGTGGAGTTGTAATTCTACTATGTTTGTGCACATTAGAGGGTTTAAGCTCATTACCATTGATTTGGAAGTTGCAGTCCTTGTTCGTTTTCTCCCTTTCTACATCTTCAAAACGCTTTACAAGATCACTGTTAATGCAAGCTTCTCCGGAATCGGAAAGTGCATTTGACAATGACTGCCTAGGGAGTGCAGTAATTTGGAAATAAACATAAGTGAGATCCCGATCTCGCCTGTACACTTGGGTGTTTTTCAATAAGGCAGAAAAGTAGAAAGAATAATACAATAAACAAGTATCAACCACCTAGATTTGGTTCAATTAATTGCTAGCATTTTGCCTCATTTGCTTTTTCTCTATGTATATGAGGTTTTTTTGTGAATAATTTTAAAATAAATTACACACATCATGACATTTTAGGCACCTTTAAGCAGTAAGGATGTCCTCATACATACAAATAATTTCATTGTTATATCTTTAAAAATTAATAGTAATTTCTCAGGAGAACTTAATGCCAGTCCATATTCAGAGCTCCTCAGTTATCCCCCAAAGGTCTTTTATAACTGGTTTATTCAAATAAGGATCCCATAAAGAACCCCACATAGCATGTGGTTGTTATTTCACTTAAGTCTCTTTTCATCTAGATGATCCCTTTTGAAGTTTTTTGTTTCATAGAATAACCTACATACTAGATTGGTATGACTAATTCTTTGTAGTCCTGTTTAACTTGTTCCTCCAGTATTTCCTGTAAACTGGAAGGTAGATTTAAAGGTTTATTTAGATTCAGGTAAAATATATTTGGCACGAGCACTCTGTACTTCTGCTATCTCCGTGCTGCTGCGATCTGCCTGTTTCATCTGTGTTCTCTGTACTTCACATTGCATCACATCAGGAGGCCATTGTGTCCAGTTGTTTTTGTCTTTCAGTCTGGGGAGTGGGGAGCAAAAGTAATGAACACCAGAAGGGATGAGGCAAAATAGTCTAAGACAGGGTCACAGTGGGACTGAAGGTGTGAAGAGAAAGGAGAACCAGCTCCCAGGGATACTGTGTGCTTCTGGGTTTTTAGCTTTGAGCTGACTGGCTCACCTAACAGGAGAGTCACTCATCTTGATAGTGTTAATGGAGGCAAAGATCCTGGCTAGAGTCTGAGGACGTGTCCTCTTGTACCTCAGAGAATAGGAAGGTCCCAGCAGAGTTCCTACACAAGTCTCTCATACCCTGTTCTGGGAGAAGTCTGATCTGATTTCCTAGTTGGAAAAGTAGTACAACAACATTTGCTTCATGGGATCTCCAGAGCAATAAGAATTAATGGTTCGGTGCACTTAATATGGGCCCAGAGGCCAGAACACTGGAATTATTGCCTCTGTTAGTTCTCATGCACCAGTGGAGGCTCAAAATGGCAGTAGGGAGTTCTCTGGAAAGCTCGTGTGGCAATTTGTTTCCTGGATTGATTTTCAAGCTTTTGGAAGCAGTAGCAGACACTTGGAAGACCTGGGATTCGTGACCCCACTGGATGGATTTATCTAAGACAGCACAGGAGCAACTGGCAGCTTCGGGGTAGTCTGGGCCAGGGTTTCTCAACCACAGCTCTACTGACATTTTGGGCTGAATAATTCTTTGTTGTGGAAGTCATCCTTTGCATTGTAGAATGCTTAGTGGCTTCCCTGGCCTCTACCTCCTCGATGCCACCCAAGTTGCGGCAACCAAAAATTAATTAATTTTAAAAGACAAAATAGAAGAGTAATCGAGGATAGAATAAACTATAAAATCATTGAAGAACATGACACATAGCAAAGCCTCAAAAAAGGTAGTAACAATTAACTATTTAAATATTTTTTTCTAGAAACGGTCCATTGATTTAAGAGAATGTTATGCATTCAATAAATATTATTGTCATCAACCATGTGCCTGGCAGTGTTCTTGAAGTTGGGAATACAGAAATGGATAAGACAGATAGAAATCTCTGTCCTTGTATAATTTGCATGAAACTGTCTTTGTCACATTTCCCTGGATCCTACTACCACACAAAGTTAAAGATGGATGTAAGTTCTCCATAAAGATAATAGTCTATTTCAGCATTGTCCAACGGAAATAGAATTTGAACCACATATGCGATGTAAAATGTTCTAGTAGCTACATTTTTTAAAGTAAAAAGAAACAGAAGAAATTAACTTCAAAAGTATTCACTCAAACATATCTGACATATTATTTTAAAATGCAATCAATATCTTTAAAATATTAATTTTTGTACTAGGTCTTCAAAATCCTGCGGCACATCTCAGTACAGACCATGCACATTCTGAGTGCTCAACAACCACATAGGTTAGTAGCTTCCATATCAAACAATGTAGCTCTAGTTATTGTTGTAAGTAACACATTTAATTAGCCAGTGACTTCTGTGATGGTCACTTCAACAGATCAATAATGCCAACTAAAGAGGAGTCAAATTCAGGCACTATCTCTTCTTCCTCTACATTTAGGAGATGTCCTTAGGGTCCTTACTCTAAATGTCATGTATTGCAATATTACTTACCACCAGAAGCCTAACCTTAAAAACTTGATTTCTGAAAAGGTCTATACTGCCCTGACATGTTGAATATTTTTCCATAATGTTCTAGCTACCCAGTAGTCTAGAAAGTATCAAAATATTACATTTTAATTTTTATCATGTATGCAATAAATTTGATAAGCAAGTCCTAGAAAGACCAATGGGAATGGTTAAGAAACAAAACCTCTGTTGCTCATCACATTTTTACCAAGTGTAAAATGGTAAAATCCCCATCAAACCAGCAACAAAAACAATAGCAATAAAAATGTTTAATTGAATTTTTGTTATAAAACAAGTTTCTTTTCATATCATTACTCCATATGATTAACACAATTTATATCTAACATGAATGTTTATCTTCAGCATATCTCATATTATGGCCATAACCAGCTGAGCATATAGAAAACATGGGTCCAAAATACTTTTGTTCTTTATGTGCTTTAGTTAAAAAGAGCAGATTGTATCAAAGAAGAAATAATGTAGAGTAAAAATGGAGTTTACTCTGTATTAGGAACATGAAACCTACTTTCTCATTCTCAACAATCTAACTGGATGACTGAGGAGGACACAATTGTCATTTAAACTCTTAGAACATTATGAACCTTACCCATAAAATTGGTGAGGGAGAGACTGCTTTTTCAAACTAGAAGGTTTCTCAAGCTGCTAAAGCTTTTTCAATGGCTTAAATCTATACACATAGTATTTTAGATTATAGTGAAGGTTGTTCAAGTTATTAACTATACTCATTGTGAGAAGAAAAAAACTCCATTAGAAAATAATTCAAACAAGAAAAGTGTTTAAATGATAAAATGGGGCAAATTTTCTTTTACCCACCAGGAAATTGAGGGAGTCTGATATTACTCTTCTATAAAGTGAGAAGGCCAAATGGTGAATCAGATCATGGTTCTAGTCCTAATTTCACCTCTAACTTTTTAACCTTGCACAAATCTCAAAATCTGTGATCACATCTTCTGTAAAATGTTATTAATTGGCTCTACGTTGATCTGTATGAGAATTGGAAGAGATAATATACCTAAAGGCACTTTGAAATGTTCTGCAAATAGAAGTTTTTAGCCTTAGCAAATATATCAGGAACTATCTCTAAGATGCTGTTCATAATTCAGTTTTAAAGTAACTTGTTCTGGAGAAGTTATTTTTTACCCATGAAAAAATGAATATAGAACATATTCATTTTTGGAATATGTTCAATTATAGAATATATCACAACATCCATGTACCATCCACCTAGAATTAAATGTAAATGGATTGATCAAACATCAAGTTGTACACCTTAAATGTATACAATTATTTGGTGATTATATCTCAGTAAAGCTGGAAAAATATAAATGGTTTGTCACATTTACATCAGATTTTTTAAAGATATAAAACACTGCAATTACAGATAAAGTCTTCTTTAATACTTTCTGACCAATTCCATACTAGCCTATAGTGAATTTTGTGATTTTGTGTATATTATTTCAGTTCATATTTTATACTTTATAATTAAATGTATATTCATAAATAATAATATTGGTTTGCTTTTTAAATAACATTCATTTTAAAATTCATATTTATTTATTCTGAAAATTAATTCACTTTTGTTTTTATAATCTAACAACTGATACCTATAGCTCTAGTTTAAGTGTTGAATAGCAATCCATCTATGAATATGTCACAATTTAATTATCCACTAAAAAGTGCTATTTGGCCCTGGCAGGTGTAGCTCAATGGATTGAGCACAGGCCTACAAACCAAAGGGTCACTGGTTCAATTTCCAATCAGGGCACATGCCTGGGTTGCAGGCCAGGTCCCCAGTATGGGGTGCATGAGAGGCAACTACACACTGATGTTTCTCTCCTTCTCTTTCTTCCACCCTTCCCCTCTTTCTAAAAACAAACAAATAAATAAAATCTTTTTTTAAGTACTATTTAGCCAGAAAGCATTTACTGGATTATAAAATAAAATCATAGAAAAATATTCGTATGTGGAAAGGGCCTTGGAGATCACCTAATGCAGGGTTTCTTAAGCTGGCATTCATAGAGCCTCTTCCATTAACGAGCTTTAAATTTAAAAATTTTTGAGTGTCTGTGGGGTGAGTATTTTCTACAGAAAGGGCCAAAGCTTTGACCAGGTTCTCAAAGACATATATGTACTAAATACAGTAGTAGTTACTTGCCTAATAGAGTTGAGAATCTGTCGTATAGCTCCTTTCTTATTTGACATATATAAGGTTCAGAGAGGTTAATTTACACAAAATCAGTGATTTTGAAAAAATAGTGATTTGAATAGAGCCTGTTCATAGAACCAGATCTATATATATTGCTTTTCTAGAGCAACATATATGTGCCGGGTTTGGTGCTTGCTTGTTTGTTGATTTCTTATACAATATATGAGAGTTTAAGTTTCTTTCAACTCTTAATCTATAAAGTACAATTCTATTTTTTAATTTCTTTTAATTATTATCCACTGCTGGTGAGATGATAAAATTGGTACCTTCTTGCATCACTAGTGATATTGTAAATTGGTATAGTCTTTAGAGAAAAACTTTGAGATGATGAAGTACCAATAAAATATATACAGACTTTTGGCTTAATCATTTTTATATTCAGAAAAACAATCCTAAAATTGGACAAAGCCACATGTAAAAAATGTTTATCAAAGTATTATTTGTAATAGTGGAAAATATCTACTAAGAAGATAATGGATAAATCACAGTTTGTCTACTCCACTGAATACTATGTAGGTAATTAAAATTAAGGTTTTATAAAATGTTAAGCAGTAGTAGAAAAATGCTTACAACATAATATTAAGTGAAAAAAAGGGATACAAAATCAACTTATGATTACAACTTTGTAAAAAGTCTGTACAGAAGAAAAACCAGAAGTAAATACAACAAATGATAATGGTCATTATCATTTACCATATCAATTACCATTAAATGGTCATTAATGTTTTCCTTTTCTTGATATAAAATTTTAGGCAATGTAGCTATGCTCATAATTTTTTAAAAAGTAAACAGTACCCAAATGCAATGAATTTTAATAAGTGTATTTCCTGCAGATTCATCATCTTAAAAAAACATTCAGAGATAAAGACTTCCCTTTTGTAATACAATTTCATAAGCATTGAAATGCTGTCTTCAGAATTATGGTCGGATTACTAATTACAATCAGTCAGTTGATTGTATACACAAGTCAGCTGGCCAGATAACTATTCTATTTCCATGTACAAAGGTGGACACTGATTACTTAATTGTCCTTAACAGAACTGACTGCTGCATTTACCTAACACAAATCATCATTTTGTGATCATATGTTATGTATGTGTCAGAAATGTATTTTTTTAAAGCAGGGTTTTCTTTTTAATGTTTTTATGTTTAAACTCCTTATTTCAGTTTAAACATTTTTTTAGTGTAGTTTCAGCTTCAAGATTTTGTCATATGTATTTATTCTAATATTTCTATTGAGTAGGGATATCAAATTAAAACAAGCATGTGTCATCTGAAATAACTTCCAGTTTCTCCGCATACACACATATTTTTGTTTCCTTCCTAGTTAATATACTTATAGTAACTTATGTGTGTATATTCAAGCTTGCATGAGAGCTAAACCAGCAGGGGGCGAAATACAATAGGAATAAATTTGACAAGTCCTATGTATTTTTCTCGCTTTATTGACTTAACAATAACCAAAAATCCAGCACGGGCACAGAGCAATTGGTACTCCAATTTAAAATGATGTATTCTACGTATGTCTGACAGCGACTGACTTGTAGAGACAAATGCGGGCCTATTTTAGCACTCCAAGTTAATTTGTCTAGAACATTGCAGAGGAGGGATAAACCATGATGAACTGCTTTTGTCCTTATCTTCACCATTCGTGTAATTCCTCCACTCGAAGGGGTTGCCACTTCTTGGTGGCTGAACGGGTTGTTTTTCATCCTCGTTTCTCTGCATAGCTGTTGAGCTTTGAAAATATTTTAAATTATCCAGATTACCGGTGCAGGTTTGGGAAATGTGAGCAGAAAGAGCACCCAGGCAGGGCTCGTGATTTGCAGGATAAGACCCTCAGCTCGTCCCAGACGGTAACAATGTTCCTTGTAGCCTTGTAGTCTGATTTTTATAGTGGCAGGTGTTTTAATAATTCATGATAAAGGCGGGGGGAAGCTTATAAAAATGTAAATAACCAACTGTTCAAGGCTGAAGATTAAAAAAAGAATCTGTTATGACCTCTGCTAGAGAAATGCAGAAGTTGATTTGATTTCTTTAGTTCCATTGGCTATTCTCCCGCAGCATCTATAAAAAACGATCGCTGTCTGCATCCGTTAGTAAAATCCCCAATATTTGTTGTTGGTCTCGTAGATGATTTGTTCGGCGGCTGCATTCCCTCTTGCTTTCCATCTTAGGTTTCATTTATAACAATCTCTTCTTTGTTAAATATCAGCTTCCTCTTCTGTCATATTAAATTAAAAAGAGGAAGAGACTTTGAGGGTGAATGAAAAAGTCGTTTTTCGGGGCGAAAAGGACAAGCCGATCTGTGCTCCACAGGTTTTTGAAGATATGGTTCTGTATATCAAAACCTTTGCAGTTTTATTTGGAGAGCAAAAGACTTAACTCGGTACCGAACTGAAGGTTAAGACCAACAGGCTAAAAAACACCTGTCCCTCGTCCGGAGCGCAGCCCCAGCGGGTGGCGGAGTGCAGAAGGACGTCTTTGCCCCCACCACAGCTCGGTGACACTCAGCGAAGTAAAGAAAAGGGCAACTTGCCCTCACCCAAAATGGCGGCCAGCGCTCTGCGCGACGACGCCTGCGCCGGGTAAGCGTTCCGTGACACTAATTCCCTCAGCGTGTCCTCCCTCGCACACCCCAGCACCCACTAGCGCCCGGCCCGAACCGGCCGCCAGCGCCCGGAAGTGACGTGTAGGCGGCCGCGGCTTCCCCGCTGCATGATGGGAGAGTGTGTGGAGTGGGCGGGGGGTCTCCGTGGAGGAGGAGGTGGAGGCGGCGGCGACGGCGGAAGAGGGCGGAGGGTAATGGGAAGGGGGTTCCGCGGCAGCGCTGAAACTCCGGGTGGGCATCCATGGCGCTGCTTCGCTGACAGGGCTGTGTGTACCTTGCCTTCTGCTCTCACCAGCTCCGCGTCGGAATAGCCGGTCCTTCCCCGGGGAGCCAGTTTCTCCCCGGCCCCCTGAGCCATGCCCATCGCGGCCGCCCCAGACGAGCCAGGTAAGCACCACGGCTCCTCTCCCCCAGCCACGCTTGGGGGATGAGGGTGAGGAGACCCAGCGCACCTGCCAGACCCTCGCCGTGGCCCGGGGCACCTGTCTACGGCGGAACTTGAAGCTGTGGGGAGGTGCCGGCTCTGCGGGCCTGCGGGCTCCGGGCTTGGGCTCTGCCCTCTTCCGCGGCGGGTGCGGGGAAGCCGGCGGCGGCGCCCGAAGCGCACGGCTTCCTCTTTGCCACGCCAGGCACCTGCCGGGAAAGTAGGAGTCGTTCTCACCACCCCGGCCGCTGCGGGTTTGCCCTGCCCCTCAGCTTTCACCTGCCCTCAGCTCCGCACCGGCCGTTCCCTCCCGGGAGCTGTGGAGAACTTTGGGGCTTTGCTGGTGCTTCCTCTTTCCCCCTCCTCCTCCTCCTCCCTCGTGACAGGTGTAAACACTGCCTGCTTCGCCCAGGTCGGAGGCCGGCCGCGACCGGAGTGTGCTGCTTCCAGGGTTCCCCGAAGCAAGCGGATTTTGAATACTCCAACGGGCGAAGGAGACGACCCCAAAGCTCACGCATCCCTTCCTGAGAGGACTTTTTCTGCTCCCTCTTGCACTCCTCAAGAAACAATCTGCCTCCTTTCCAGATTGCGTTCAGAAAGTTGGACCCTTACTCTTTAAGCGCCCAGTTTGGCAGGTGCTAATATCTGCTTGGGCTGGGGACAGTATAGGGTGAACGGTGGTAGGACCCTTTCTCCATTAGCAAAGTACTGAGCATGGCTAGATTTTTTTCCTCTGGTTGGTTAATTCAAGTTGTAGCTTGGTTTCCAACCGAATCTTCTATGGGGGCTAGAGAAGGATTAACTCCTAACTCATATATATAAATATTTTTTACTGGGGATAAATGAGGCAAAAGCAATGGTTCCGTTTCAGAGTACTCGTTTTAGGAGAAGAAAAGTAGAACTTTACTTTTGAACTTGAATCTTCCCTTTCACTGGGTACGTTCACCTAGTGCCGATGGGGGATGGTGTTGGAGGTTGGGAAGGGGAAACAATTTAATTCTTGATGTTTCATTTAACTTTTGCTTTCAGTTAAACTTTCAGACAGATATTTGCTAAACTCTAGGTGAAACAATGTTTCAACACTCTTGTGTTGATAAAAACGTGTGCAGTTTACCTTCATTTTATGCCCTTTGCCGGCTTACATGTTCCTTTTTGTAATTATTTTTAACTCTTCGTAGAAGTACTATATATGTTTAAACAAAGTGTCTGTGGTGTTCTTATAAATTTTGTCCATGAAGCTATTTCACATGGATTAAAAGATCCTTTGTAAAAACATATAGCCCGGTAAATGGCACCTAGTAAATGCCTCGTTTTTTCCCTAATTCCTCTGTTTATGTATCAGATAAGTTAATTTATCTTCAAAGTATATTTTTAAATCTTAAGTCTCTTGAAAGAAATTGAGATTTCATGTAATGTGTAGAGCATTAGTTTTGAGGTTTTCTGATTTTTTTGACCTAGAGGCTGTTATACAAATAATTCCACATCAAAACAAAGATGATGTGCCCTTAATTGCATTGATAAATTTTGCAGAATCCAATTGCCTTTATGAAAATCATGTGTCTAGGTGAATCCCATTGTAAAATGTCACCGTAAATATTAATTTATAGTTAAACCTAATTCAGAGAAGTAGTGAAATTTGAGTATCAGAAGTGTTTTATTTTGTATGAAATCTAAAATGCCTTTCTCAACAGTTTGAGAAGTCTTTGTATAGCATCATATTGATAGATTACCCCATCTCTCCTAACCCTATACCCAAAATTCATGTTATAAATTATTTAAATCAAATGTTTATATTCTAAGTTAATGTTACTTACAGTTTGTAAGTTAAAAATACTTTTCCCCTTCTGTGCCTAGCACTTTACTTTCACTTCTTCTTTAAGTAGACTAATGAACCTTTCCTGCTTAAACTTTGTAAGAATTTCCAGTTTTCATGCAGTTTTGAAACTATCTGGCATTATATGGATTATATATCCTTTCGGTAATTAATCTTTTCTCAATCCACATATATGCACATGCTGGATGTATACACATACATATACAGTCACAGGTCCTTTTGCAACTATATAACTACTAGCACTGATATATGCTACTTGGTATGAGAGAGATACTTTTCTAAGTGATTTATATAAGGTATATTAATTCATTTAATTCACACAATAACTCTGTAAGCTAGTATTATCCCCATTTTTGGCATTATCCCCATTTTTAGAGAGAAAACTAATGTTAAGTAACTTGCCTAAAGTCAAACAGCAGGTAAGTGACAGCCAGGTTATAATACGATACCATTTATGTGGTTTTAATATATGCAAAAATATACAATATATTCAGGGAATCAAGGACTATGTATCAAAAGTATAAAGACATGCATAGGAATGATAATGGCAAATTAAAATAAAAGTTACCTCTGGAGAACTAGAGAGGAATAAAGGATCTAGAAAGAGCCCATGAGTTTCCAACCATAACTCTACTGTCTTTAAATCAGAAGTTGATTTGGTAAAAGATTAGGATTCAACACAGGTGATCAATACTTGGTCATTCATTACATTTTCTCCCCCTAAACTTTGTTGTCTGCTTAAAATCATAATAAAATTAAAAGTTCAGGTTTTTCATTTTAAAAGCTGTATAAAGTATCACTCTGTTTTTCAGCATAGTATATTCTAAAAGAAGACTGAGAAGGAGTTGGTGTTATTTTGTGTTGACTTCCTTTTAAAATACAAGAAGCCTCTAACTTAAAAGTATTTGAATTAAGAAACACAGCCCTCTCCGGGTTCCTCTGTAGAAATTTTCCTTGCCTGGGATCGCCTCTAATTTCCGGCAGCCCTCTCGGTGGCCCTGTATCACCTGTATCACACTCCTGGTTTCTATTTCTGGCCTTACGCTAGGGTAGGGGCATATAGGTCTGGATTAGACCTATTCCCCAGGAAAGGGAAGGGTCTGAAACTATATAGTAGTGGGGAGATGGGAATCATTGCTCATTAGTTTTGGAGGAGTGAAAACAGAAGGAAAATAGGAGATTTAAGACTCTTTCCTATCATTCTTCAGCCACCACCACCCCATTCTCAATAACTTAAGTAAACCTTGCAGAGATAAATTGCTAATGAATTAAAGGTTGTCTGTATGTTCAAAGCTTAATTTGCAAGCACTATTTTGGTGAATAGTTACCAGAGGAAAATCAAGTAGTAAATTAGAATAAATTCACATAGCTTGTATTTATATAAATGTTTACGACATGCCACAAACCATTTCAACTGAGTATCTACTAACACTATGGTATTCTCTTCTCAGCATTCATACAGCAAGTATTTACTGAGTGCTTGCTCTATGTCAGGCTTGTTTTACCTGGGGACACTGAAATAAACAAGGAAAAAATTAACCTTCATATGCTTCAGTTCCTTACATGTGTGTGCACACATGCATGTCTGTGTATGTGGATAGACAAAATATAGATAGCAGATGATGTTCAGTATTATGGAGAAAAAGAGTCATTTTGGGGAGATTGGCAAGTACAAACTTTTTGACTGAGTCAGGGCGGGAGATTGGTGGGACTTGCCATTTTATGTAGGATCAGTTCAGAAAAGGCGTAAGACCTGAAGAAAGTGAAGAGAATAAAGGGGAAAGTGGTAGAAGTATGCCTGTAATATTCAAGATATTGCAAGCAGAAGAGTAGTAAGTGTGATCAGAAAGAGGGTAAGAGGGCAATGTTGTGAGGGCTTTGTGGACATTCCAGTGACTTAGGCTTTTCACCGTGTGAGATGAGAAGCCATCACAGGGCTTTTGAGTAGATATATGACAGTCTATCTTTTAAAAGAATCTGTTTGGCAAGAATGGAAGTGGGAAGATTTCATTAGGAAGGAGGTGGTTATAGTGATGCAGCTAAGAGATGATAGTGGCTTGAACCAAGATGGGGGGGTGGGGAATGGAGACAGTTGTACTGGAAGAACACTGAAAAAAAAAAAAAAGAAGTGGTAGGACAGTTTCTTGAACTGGAACCTTTAATAATTTACCTATTGCTAAACTTAGAAAACTTACACAGAGGTTCTACCTCCTGAAAATTCAAGGCTGTCAGCAACTGCCTTACTCCCTTCATATATCCTATATTCTAACCAAACTGTATTATGTGACTTCTTGCTCCTTGAAAGTTGCCACATGCATTATCTTTAGCACCTGCTGTTTCCTCTCTTCGATTTAAATCCTTCCATTTCAAATTCTTTCCTTTATGAAGGTTTTTTTTCTTTTTACCATTTTTCCTCCTCCCAATCAAGTGAGATTTTTTTCTTAGAATCCTTATAGACACATTTTAGTTCATATGTTTCTATTCTGCCTCACATTAATTGTCTTTACTATTTTCTTGTATTGTCCCCACTAATTAATTGTTAGATTTTTAAAGGCTGTGAATCCTTTTACTCACTTTTCCTACTTATAGAACCTAGCATTTTTGTATGCAGTAGATGCTGAATAAATAGTGGATGTACATATTTTTTTAATTTCAAAAAATAGTCTTTTAGTACAGAAGCATTGTACTAAATAGAAAACAATCGTAATTCCATTACTAGAGATCCCCAATGTTAACAGTTTACATATATATTTATATATGTGCACTCTTTACCAAAAGGAAATCTGATTGTACAGATTGCTTTGTAGTTTTGCTTTTTGTTTTTCAAAAAACAAAAAAGAATAGTCAGCTAGACTCTTCTTACCAGCTGATCCAAAAATGTTACTTTACAGCTGATTTGCCAAAATTAGCATCCACTCCATATTATATACTTTTATGGTTATTAAGATTATCAAAGGATAATATCCTTACTATGGTAGATTTGGAACATAAAGAAAACTAGTATGCCCCTTGATGGCAGTGGCTTATTATCTATTTTAATGTTTGACCCAAAATAAGTACTCAGTTAAGAGGAATAATAGAAGACAAATATCACTAGCCATCACACTACAGAAAGATAACTGTTAACATTTTGGTTTTCCTTTACTTTTTTTTCCCCTATGGATATATGTCATCCATTTATATGCATGTATATATACACATACAACATATATATAGGAACGATGCATAGATTTTTACTATTAAATTGTGAGCATCTTCATGTTATTAAATATTCTTTAAAACATGATCGTTAATGACTGTGTAGAATGACATCCAGTGAGTTTCAAGGTTTCTCTGTGGTTTCCTACAGATTGTTTGGGTTTTTCCAGTTTTTACTCTCATAGAAAAACATCTCTGTGAACCCATCTGGGTGTAAATCTTTGACTTTGTCCGTGGTTATTTCCATAGAACTGAGTCTTAGAAGTGGAGTTACTAAATAAAAGGGCAAGCCAGTTGCCTTCCAAGAGATTCTAATAACATTGCTATCAGCTGTGGTTGAGAGTAGTTATCATTCTGTAATCTCAGGTGATCAGTAATTGTGCATTTTTTGTTTTTTCAAGCAAACATCCATTTTATTTATTTACTTTTCAATTAAGTTTAAGTCCTTGAGGGGTAAAGATTACACAGATTCTTGCGTCCAATGGC